CGGCCCTGCCCTGAGTGTAACAGTGGCGGCGCCCCAACCCCCTGATCCGCCCTGCTGTGTGTGTGACAGGGGGCGGTGCCCTAACTCCCCTATCGGCCCTACTCTGTGCGTGACAGGGGGGAGCTCCTCAACCCCCTGATGGGCCCTGCTCTGTGCATGACAGGGGGGAGCTCCCCAACCCCCTGATTGGCCCTGCTCTGTGCGTGACAGGGTACGGAGCCCCAACCCCCCTGATGGGCCCTGCTCTGTGTGTGACAGGGGGCAGTGCCCCAACCCCCTGATTGGCCCTGCTCTGTGCATCACAGGGGGTGGCCCCTCAACCTCCCCATCGACCCTGCCTTGAGTGTGATAGGGGGCGGTGCCCCAACCCCCCAATCAGCCCTACCCTGAGCGTGACTGAGGGTGGCATCGCAACCTCCCAATCCGCCCTGCTCTGTGCATGACAGGGCGCAGTGCCCCAACTCCCCAATCAGCCCTGCTCTGAGCCCGACCAGGGGCTGCACCTAGGGATTGGGCCTGCCCTCTGCCACCCGGGAGCAGGCCTAAGCCAGCAGGTCATTATCTCTCGAGGGGTCCCAGACTGCAAGAGGGCACAGGCCGGGCTGAGGGACCCCCCCCCCTCCTCCCCGAGTGCACAAATTTTTGTGTACCGGGCCTCTAGTTACTTATAATAGCCAAGACGTGGAAGCAACCTAAGTGTCCATCGATGGATGAATGAATAAAAAAATATATGTATACAATGGAATATTATTCAGGCACAAGAAGAATAAAATACTGCCATTTTCAATTCTCACCTGAGGATATTTTTTCCTTTGATTTTTTTAGAGAGAGTGGAAGGAAGGGAAGGAGGAAGAGAGAGAGAGAGAAAAACATTGATTGGTTGCCTCCTGCACACACCTCAGCTGCACCTCAACTGGGGCTAGGGGTCAAACCTGCAACCCAGGTACGTGCCCTTGACCGGGAATTGAATCCATTATCCTTCAATGCATGGGACAATACTCCAACCACTGAGCCACACAGGCCAAGGCGGCTTTTCACTCTTGCCAGTGTTTCCAGTAGGGTTTGTTGGAAGGAAAGAATGACAGCCGCTGGGTGTAACAAAGTTTTGAGGGCTGTGTGGGTCAGGGAGGCTCTATGGAGGGTCTGTGCTAGTGGCCTATGTGTCACTCCTTATGCCCCTGGCCTTGGTCTCCTCATTTTAAAAGGTGATGTTTACATTAGTTTGTTTACTTAGGTTCCTTCTTGTCCTAAAAGAGATTTGATATTATTAGTGTGTGTGTGTGTGTGTGTGTGTGTGTTTTAGTGCAGAATTGGCTTTCAACAGTTTCCTGACTATTTACACAATTTTACCCAATATCTCCAATCAATAGTAAAAAAATCATATATGAGCCTTTATGAGTTAAATACTGTAAGTGCTCAAAATATATAACACTGATGTTATTCCAAGTTAACATGAAAAATTTCAATGTCCTCATATTTACATTCAGAAAGGAAAGCTGGCTTAGATATACCCTTAGAAGAATTCATTAACTCCTATTTAATCAAATGACCAGAATACTACTTTGGCAAGTGATGTAGGGATTAAGCAAATTAATTAGATATAAGTTCTTAGTCACTAAAGCTGAATTCCTAGTAAGTTTAACAGTTTGCTACCTTGTGTGCTATCAGAACTTTAAAATGATTTATTTTCTAAAAAGATGGAGGGTAGGGGGAATAACTTATGAATCAACCAGAGATTGTTTGGATATGATTATAAACTGCCAATCACCTTAAATTCAACAATAATCGGATTTTTAAAGCTACTTCATAAAAAAGGGAAAAAATAAAATTATATCTTATCTAAAAGACTACTTATGAGACTTAAGGAACTTACACATGCATGACTGAGTGTGCAATAATACATTCCATGTGAACTGGTCTCTAAAAATGTCTATAATTAAAAACAGAATAGTGAAAAAAAACTGAATGGCTTACTGTCTTGGTGAGTTAGTAGAGGATTCCTTTTCTGAACCAGGAGAGCTTAGGGTTTGCAAAATACAATTATGTTTTTCAGTGGATGGGGCATCTCTTTCTTGCTCGGAGCGGATTAATTTTAAGGCCTCTATTCCATCTTCTCCCTCCATCTTGTCACCTGGATTTGGTTGTGGTTCCAGGCTCTTTAAAATCAGATCATCTTCACTTACAGAAACGGTGAGGTCACTGCTGCTGTTCAAACTGTCCTCCTCCCACTCTTCCTGCATTTTTCGGAAGGGCTTCTGTGACTCTGGGTCTGCATGAGGAAGATGATCTGTAAGAGGGGATATGATTAGATTACTGATCACTAACCTCAGGGAGAAACAAGGTAAGATGTTCCACCTCACAGACGGAATTACTTCACAGCTAAAAGCATGCAGCAACAATCCACAACTCATTATAGTATATAAAAACTCATTAAAACATTTTTAAAAATATCACAGTGGGTTTAAAAATGAGATAATTTTTTTTGCAAAGATATTTCCACATGCACACTTAAGAACTCATTAGAATGGAATTTGTTGGCAAAGACACTATTTTGTTTTTTGACAAAGATTAAAATTAGTGCATATTTTGTTCTTACATAAGACCAATACCAACTAGAAAAACTAAATACCAAACAAAAATCAGCAAATAATCTCAGCCTCTCACCCCACCTGAGAAAACTTCCCCAGCGGAATGCTTGTCTTGAGAACACTTGTTTTCAGGTGCACAGTACTCCGAGACTGATAGCGGAGAGGCAGGCGGTCTGGCTCTTCCTTCCTTGACTTCAATATGTTCTTGTGTCAGTATTTCTCTCTCCGATCCCTCTGATCTGCTGGAACTGTCACACTTTAAATCAGTGGTTCTGTTCTCTGGACTTAATCTTTCCTGTAACGGGGAATGAAGTTCAGCAGAATTTTTGCCTTCAGATAAATTACTCTTGCCATGACGTGTGTTGCTTCCTATCTCCAGGCAATGAGTTTGTTCCTCCTCAGACAGAACGCTGGCTGTGACTAGCATTTTCTCACCAATCTGAAGAGACGTCTTTCCATCTATTTTGTCAGACTTATTTAAGCACTCTGTGTCACTATTAGTTTGTACTACATAGCTGTCTGTCACATTACAGTTCTGGGCTGTCTGTTGGTGTGAATGTGGGTCAGGAATTGAAAAGTTCTTTGTGGGTTGGGGAGATTTCTGCTCTGTACTGAAATCTCCAATGCTTGAGACGGCTGACATTTGGCGGCCCATAAAGCTTGTTGCTGGTTGATACAATCCTCTTGACATGGCTGTTTCTGAGTTAATTCCTGCCTGCACTGCAACCTACAGCACCAAAAGAGATGTGAGTTAAGCATATTTATTGTGCATGAATAATTAGGTTGTTCAAGTTGTTTTCAGAAATGAAATGAGGTAAAGGAAACATGACCAATGAAATCAACAACTACCACATCTTATAAATCTCATAGCTTCCTTCAAAATGAAGAGCAAAATCCAGTATAGTCCACACTACTTACTTTTAATAACAACATTGGTTCAAAAAGCAAATATTGTTCAGGAACTATGAAATCTATATTTTTCAAAAAGAGATGCATACATTGCATAACAATGTGAATGCACTTAATTTCACTGAATTGTATACCTAAACATCATTAAAACTGTAAATTTTAGGTTATGTATATTTGACCACAATTTTTTAAAAAGCCATGTATTCTAACCACTTTCCACAGACAAGTTTGAAATTGATGGAGTTAGGGAGATACTTGACAAAAGACAGGGCGGGGACAGGAGTGGGTAATATAAATGACTATTGTAGGTTTCAAAACTCTATTTCTAGTTTTATGTATAATATAGAAACTTTTAATAATACATTCAAGATTACATTAAAATATACTGCATATGCGTAAAATAATCATAATTTCCAGTCAAAGGGCAAATAACAGTTTTTTTCTGAACGTTTTCAAGTACTTTTAAAGATATTTAAAGCAATTTAAATTTACCAGCATGTCTACAGGGAGAAGAACATTTTCTCTTTCTTAAAAAAGAGGTGAGGGGGAGGAGGAGTGGAGGCAGAGAAAAATAAGCAATTGGTTTAGTGGTTTGATGAAGGACACACATGGGAAGAACTAGAAGTAACAGTTATGAAGCTTTTCTTCCAAAGGGACCAAAGTATCTCCACATACATAATAGAATTTAGTTCACAGACTCCACAGAATTGATGGGAAAGTGTATTTGCATCCCTCCTCTTCAAATGGAAAACTGGGGTCCAAAATTTAAGAGAGAAAATGTCATATGCACAGTTGCAACAGAATCTAGGTCTTTCTTCTACTCCCAAAAATGAAAGAAACAATCTTGAAGTTAAAAATAAATGAACAGGCTTATTTCGTTTAAGTCAGTCACAGAAAGACAAGTATCATATGATCTCACTTATATGTGGAATATAAAGGACAAAAACCAACGAACAAAATAGGTCCAAAGGCATGGAAGCATGGAACAGATTGACAGATCTCAGAAGGAAGGGCAGGGCAGAGAATAACCAAAGAACTTATATGCATATATGCATAATCCACGGACACAGACAATAGTGTAGTGAAGGCCTGGGGGTGAGGAGGGGTGGGAACTGAGTGGAGGTGGAAGTGGGGGGAGGAGGGGGACACATGTAGTACTCTCAACAACAAAGATTTTTAAAAATGAAGAGGGATGTCAGAGAAATTGTGGAACAGGGACCTCCCAAAATTGTCTGCTCCATAGAAGAAATAATAATGCTGGAAAACATCTTTAGGATATCTTTTCAGAACTCTGAAAATTAACCAAAGGCTTGCAGCTATCTGGGAAGAATTTATGGTGTTTTTAACTTGCTTTATTTCCATTTCCCCACCTCAAATCTGTGGTAACCTTGAAAACTAATAGCCTGAAATTACAGCTTGTAAAACAGCAGCCTAGCAGACACTGAATGGAGCAGAGAAGGAATAGGACTCATTCCAAGCCCCATTCCCAGAGAACTGCCATTATTTGAACTGTCTGGTGTTTCCCTGGAAGACAGTACCAGACTGTCTTTATTTGACCGGACATAGACCTGACACATTGTAAACTGCGTTTTCTCTGGGGCGATTTATTGAAAATAATCAGAGGCAAGTTTTTAACACTGAGGCTTCCTAAGGCAGTGGATAACAGTTGGGCAACTAAAAAAGTCTTAAGAGGAAAAGCTGGTAAATTTGATATCCATAGTGGGCTTTAAAAGGCTTGAAATCTAGATAATCAGCCACATGTAAGGGCTGTGAGCATGCTCAGGAAAAGTCTGAGAAGGGCCTAAGCTTTCACCTGAGGTTGACCTTGAGGCTTTGTACAAGCATGAAGTGAAGACTAAGGTAAAGTTTTAAACTGCCTGGATGAGTGTTGAAGGTGTACCCCAACATACACCTAAAGCCCTTTGGCAAAGAGTGTGCAACTTACTGGTTTCAGACATTTAAAGAAAGTTTTGTCTAATCATTAGCTGGTCACTAAGCTAATTGAACAGAAACTTCAGTGATCATACATGGCAAAGTTCAGAAAGTCACCAAACAAACAGCAATAACAAATTCACAAGCTAATTGAACAGAAACTTCAGTGATCTTACATGGCAAAGTTCAGAAAGTCACTAAACAAACAAACAGCAATAACAAATTCGAGGGGGCGGGGGTAGAGGGAGAGAATCTGATGTTCAGAGTAGCCATATTTTATTATTTAAAATGTCCAAACATCCACAGAAAATTATGAGATATTAAAGGATCTGATGTTCAAAGTAGCCATATTTTATTATTTAAAATCTCCAAACATCCACAGAAAATTATGAGATATTAAAGGAAGCCAGAAAGTATGGTCTATACCAGTGATGGCGAACCTTTTGACCTCGGCGTGTCAGCATTTTGAAAAACCCTAACTTAACTCTGGATATATTTAAGTGCCATTTAACAAAGAACAATCAACCAAAAAAATGAGTTCGCGTGTCACCTCTGACACACGTGTCATAGGTTCGCCATCACTGGTCTATACACTGGAAGACAGGGGAGCAGAAAGCCCAGACAGTGGACTTACTAGGGAAAGGCTTTAAGTTAGCAATTTTAAATATGTTCAAAGAACTAAAGGAAAGCATGTCTGAAGACTAAAGTATCTGAATAATGTCTAAACAGAGACTATCAATAAAGAGATAGAAATTATATTTTTTAAAAGAATCAAACAGAAATTCTGCAATTGAAAAGTACAATCGCCAGAATACAAAATTCACTACAGGGGCTCAATATCAGATATGAACAGGCAGAAGAAAGAATCAATGGGCCTGACTATAAGTCAATTAAGATTATCCAGACTGAAAAAAAAAAAGGAATGAAGACAACGAGTTTCAGAAACCTGTGGGATACCATCAAACTTATCAACCTATGCCTAATGAAAGCCTCAGAAGGGGAAGAGAAAGAGAAAGGTGCAGAAAGAATTTTTTTTAAATGATCATGAGGAGAACCAAGATAGTGGCGTAGGTAAATGCTAGTACTCACTGCCTCCTACAACCACATCAAAATTACAACTAAAATACAGAACAACCATCATTCAGAACCACCTGAAAACTGGTGAAATGGAAGTCCTATAACTAGAGAAATAAAGAAGAAAGCACAGATGGAGAGGGGTAAAGTGGGGGGGGAAGGATGGGGGTATCTATACTCTCAACAATAAATATTTTAAAAATAAAAGAATAAAATAAATTAAAAATTATCGTGAAAACTTCTCAAATTTAGAAAAAAAGCATTATTCTAAATATCTAAGAAGCTCAATAAAGTCCAAGTATAATAAATTCAAAGATATCCTCACCTAAGCACATCATAATCAAACTATTGAAAGTCAAAGAAGGAGGGACAGTCTTAAAAGCAAAAATAGAGGTTATTTCTCACATACAAGGGATCTTCAAAATGATTAACAGGTGATTTCTCATTAGAAACTGTGAATGCCAGTAGGGAATAGGATAACATAAAGTGCTGAAAGAAAAAGATGGTCAATCAAGAATTCTATATCCACCAAAACATTCCTATAGAAATAAAGGAGAAATTAAGGCATTATTTGCTAAACAAAAACAGAGAATCTGTCACTACCATACCTGTCCTACAAGAAGTACTATAGGAAGTTCTTAAGGCTGAAATGAGAGGACACTCTACAGTAGCTCAAAGTCTAAGCAATAAATAGCACTAGTATGGGTGACTATATTGGTAAATATAAAAAATAGCATAAATAAGTTTTGTTTGTAACTCTCTTTGCTCCTCTATATAATTTAAAAGACAACTGCATTAAGCAATGATTATAGATCTATGTTGATGAGCAGCATCTATCTATTTATCTATCTATCTATATATAAAAACCTAATATGCAAATAGACCGAACGGCAGAACAACCGAACAACTGAACAACCAGTCGCTATGATGTGCACTGACCACCAGGGGACACGTGCGAAACATGGCAGGTGTCGGCAGCAGGCGGCAGAGTGCAGAACATGGCAAGCATCGGCTGTGGCGGGATGGTGGAGCAGGTGAGCAGGGGCGCCAGACCAAGGCAGGGCGCCGGTCGCTGTCATTGGGGCGAGCCTCTGGTGGTTACTGAAAATTCTTTGCTCCCGTGTACTGCAGTCCTGCCTGGTGCTCGCACCTGCTGCCAGCACCAGCCCCGTTAGCACCTGCTGCCAGTGCCCGGCGCCGGCCCCGATCACTGGGCACCATCAGTGGGTGCGAGCAGCAGCTGCTGGCCCCGATCGCCCCTGAGGGCTTCTGCACCTCTCCCTGCTCCTGAGGGGTGATCAGGGCAGCAGCCGCCACTCGCACCCGCTGACAGTGCCGGCCCCGCTCGCACCCACTGCTGGTGCCAGCCCCAATCACTCTGCACCATCAGTGGGTGTGAGCAGGGCCGGCGACGTCAGTGCATGGGAGCAGCAGCAGTGGGAATGGGGCTGCTGGCAGACATGGGACCAGGGGTCGCAGTGGAAGGGGCCAGGCAGTGGCATGGGGGATAGGCTGAGACCCGCCCCTGTGCTCACCACAGCCTCTCGGTCCACAGTTCCTTTCAAGGTGCACGAATTTGTGCACTGGGCCCCTAATATAAGATATAAAGACATAGGTTGTATTACAATAACATCACAAAGGAGCAGGAAAGAATTGAAGCTATACAGAATTAAAGTTATTGCATTCTATTGAAATTAAGTTGGTATTAATACAAATTGGATTATTATAAACTAAAACATAAATTATAACCGACATTAAAAGAAATAACAGTCAATTAAAATGGTACACTAGAGCCCGGCGGGTTGGCTCAGC